AATGGAAAATTACGCACTGCAGAAACAAGTGTTGTTGACAAACACATATCAATAAGATATGGGCAATTTAAAGTGGAAGATCTCCTTGGAGTGGGCTAACAACAGTCCCGAAAGATGTTCATGATGAACTAAAAGGACCTCGAGGGCTTATTTAAGGTAGAGTTGAGTTGAGTTGAGAGTTGTTTGTTGGTTCTCTCCTGTTCTTCGAGGGTTTTCCGGGTTCTTTGGTTTTCCTCCCTCCTCAAAAATCAACTCTTAAATTCCAATTCCAATAGCCACTGGCTATTAAGTGCTACCCTCGTGAAAAAAGRACGGTTTTTTTATTGGAAAATCGTTTTCCAATGCTGGCACGCCCCTAGACCAATCACGTGCAATGTGGCAAGAAGCGATGATGATGAGGGACAGCCAAACGTATATGCACATGTACCTTTCCCAAAAAATGGACTACAGATAGAGCGCATCAGTTTACCTCGAACTGTGACTACAAAMGAACAGACTGATTGCAGMTTGGCTGAGTCCGTTGCAGTGTACGTGAGCAATGTTCTTCCAACTTGGAACTGATGAGGAGATGTGAGTCCATTTGGTTTAACAGTTAGCGTGGGTCTCTCTCCGGAGTTATCCTTTGGCTCAGGCCTCGGCCAAGAAAACGTTGCAAAGGCTTTTCCTGGATCAGTGACAGTGTTTGCGTCTGTTGGACATTGGAGAGTAGGTGCTGCTACATCTAAAAAGATAACAGATAAAAAACGATAAATGCCTTTATCTGTAAACAGTTTATAGGTCGCAAACTTAATACTATGAAATATGGCGGTGTGATTACAGACCTTGACATGWGATAAGGTTGATATCCACTGACCACGATCCATTTCCAGAGCACGTCAAGTGACGGACACCAGCATTTCTGTAGCCATTGGTTAGATTACACTTTACAAAACAGCGGGTACCAGAAAGCACAGGGAACCCAGTAACACACGCGTTTGGCTCGATTGCTCCATTYTTAATCTGGGTAAGGGCGGGGCAGGTAACTCCTTCATGTTAGTAAGAAAAGTACGTTATTAACTGAGAATGATGCAAAATGTTTGACTAGTACTATTAGCATCTAAGAGCAAGAAAAAGGTATATAAAATGTCTTTTCTTACGGCTTTTTAAGGATATTCATGTATTCAATTTCACGTGATTTCTAAGCCGCCATGTTGCTCAAATTTAACAAACGTTTTAGCATTGACTGATTTTCGTCGCACTGTCATGTGTTATTTYATAGTACTGGTAATACTAGGAATTTTGAAATTACAAAAAGGAAAATCAAACAATTTGTCTTAACTTCTACCCTTGGTTCCTGAAGCTTTCTCGCTCCAGTGCGAGTTGATCGCGAGAAAATAATAAAACCTAGAAGCACTGGAGCAAGAGAGCCTTGGAAAACCAGGGTACTTTACTTCAGGATCAAATGAAGAAATTTTCGCGGACTGCATCAACTTTCATAACCGATATGATGTCATCCACAATGAGACTATGGTCTCTATTGCACCATCCTATTTTCCGATTCAGGAAAGACAGCTTCGCCTCGCGACACTATACGTTTCCTTTTTATGGGCGCGCTGTCTCTACCAATGCTAGCGTTCATGTTAGTTTTATTAATATAGATTACTCACTCGTACACTTTGTTTCATTGCCCAACCATTGCCCATTCCTCATACAAGTTATTGTCTTTGAACCACTTAACACGTGCCAAGGTTGACATGTAAAGGTTGCCACAGAGCCATAGTAGGTACCGCAAGACAGGGATGATATCAARCCATTAGAAGGAGCCGTGAGATGTCTGCAAGATCGTCCTGGAAACAGATAAGATGATATAGATCTTGTTTTGTTGACTTCTTGACATTTTAGGATATATTTTACATTCCCCTTTCWATTGAGACTAGACTACAATGCTCCCCTTTTTGCTATCTCAAAAAAGGCAATTTCCTTTCCGTACCCTACCAAAAATCACGARTTACATACTTTTACACTCTTTCTCATTAACAAGCGCGGTTTCTGAGCAATTTGCCGTCGCAGGTTTTAGTGGACATGCATCACTCTGCGCGTTCCCATAAAATTCTATACAGACAAGCACGAGTTTCCCGACCCCGTCATGGAAACAGTTTGATTGACGTCTACTAAATCTACTTCGTCATGACGACTATCCAGCGAATGAGAACGACGGTAAATAAAATAAATGAGAACTCGTTTCTCCTTGTGAATGGAGAGGGCGGMCCAAGAAGGTCTTAAAGTTGACGGTTTTTAAAGAGACATGGTGATCCTTCTAACACTGAAGATTACTTACGGCTTACTTGGATCTTGAAAACACACTTCCGTCTAAAGCYCACGATGTCTATGGCTGTATAGTTAATAATGTAGATCCCTGGAGTTAATGTTAATGGAGGACCTTGACTTGGACCTTGCAGCCTTACAACACCTGAATTGTCTTTTGCTGTAGGTGTGGTCCAGTTAACTGTTACATTACTGGAACACGGATCAACGATGTAGACCATGTCACGTGGGCAGGTTGACGAAAACGATGGAGGGGTCACATCTATTGTTAATTTTATTTTTAAAACATAACAGTTATACATAGTATTATTATTGTTCACTTCATAGGACAATTATTGCTTTGAAAAAAATATAGTTCTTTTTAATCAATCTAAAAAATGTTTGGTATTTGTCGATATGTACTTTATCTCTCTTTCTCTCTTTCTACCTCTGTTTCCCAAGTTTTTGTGTAATTTCATGTTTAAACCATTCGTTACCTTGACACCAAGTGTCGTTTCGTCCTGTCCATCGTCCATTCGATCTGCATATACGTGTTTTGGTACCATGGAGTCTGTATCCAGTAGCRCACGAGTGAGTACAGATAGTACCGTAGATACTACGTTGTAAGCAGGTGGATGGTGCAATGGACCCATTATGAGGAGGGGTTAGAGAAGGACACCTGTTGGCTGGGGGAAAAGTGGGAATGCTGTAATAGTGGTAATGTTTTGATGAAGATGATGTTGGCAATAAAGAAGAAGATGATTATAATAATGGCAATGTTCTAGATAGTGATATTAATGGTATAATGATGATGATGACATCATAGCAATTTAAMAAATAGACATCAGTTTTTTATGTCTGTCCTCTTATTGACGATAACTTTCGTCATCACATTGTTAAAGTAGTATGTATATTTGTTTTAACAATAACAAAAACGATAAAAACTTCTCATTTTTAGCGATCAAATCGACCAATGGAAAGAGCGCGCGCTCGTTGACGTCAGCTTTATCTGTCTGTCCTCTTATTGATGATAAAAAATGACCAATCAGCGCGCGAGAAATTTGAAAGTTATTGTAAAATAGGCGCTTGAGGAATATTTAGATGCATGGTTTTGAAACCGAGAGGTGCACTAGAGGCAAATTTAGAAAGGCTAATGCATACACTTGTGAAATGACAGGACCTCAAACAAATCCCTCCAGTGAGGAGTGGGGGTGGGGAAAGGTTTGCGTCCGCACCCATCGCATCCTACGAGCCTCCTATAACGCTTCCCCTACCTTGACAAACCGTATCCTTTCCGCTCCACGTTCCATTCGCGAGACACCTCCTTGACAACGGCTTAGATGACTGGTATCCATGGAGACACGAAAAGTGACASACAGTACCAAACACCTGAAAGGGTAAGTCACTGCAGCCAAATAGAATAGCGTTGTCAGGAACTTGAAGGGGTGGACACCTGACCACTAAAAGAGACATCATCATGATTAMGAAGGAGCACAGTACAGATTGGAACAATTTATAATCAACCTTCTACAATTAGAGTTTTAAATTCTGAGATATTTGAGCTAATTTGCTGAGCTTGTGTACCTTCGCATTTTGGTGGTTCTCCRTTCCATGTTCCTATTGGTTTAGATTCATTTTTTACCAAACACGTGATCGTTGCCATGCCAACTAGTGTATATCCCACCGGGCAGGTAAAGCTGCAGTTGCTTCCATGATGCGCATCACAGTTGGCAAGCTGCAAAACCCCGTCAGGAATCACGGGTGGACAGTATATTACTGCAATGAATGCAAACATGCAACTGATTCAAAATTTGATTACATGTTTATAATAAATGTTGATAAACAATTTGCTAAAAGTAGAAAAGGGAACGGAATCAAGGACGCGGGAAGAAAGGATGAATGGATGGATGGATGGATG